TATATGGAGGGACGGATTTGTGAAATATGAAAATATTTTTCTATCACGGAGACATATTGTAATATTTACTTTTTTGCTTATTTTAACTACGACCCGACGTTTCGGATGCTCTACAGCAATCATGAGGATCACGGGGAACTAATTAAATATTAGCTAACTTCAAGTGTTAAATCGTTAAAAGTGTTTTATTTCGTTGATCTGAATACTGTGCCCTGCCCGACCGAAACAATTAATTGTTTCACTAGAATTCGAACCTAGATCCATTCGTGCTTAACGCACTGTTAGACAACATGTTTAACCAATGAATTTTGTGCCAGTTCTGTAAATACATTTTTTTTCCTTTTCTCTATTTAACATAGAAAAGAAAAAGAAATATACTACTTAGTTCCACTAGTCGTACGTTTCTTTTCTAAATTAAGTCATAGATTTTCGAACACAGGATTCAAATCATCGTCACTGTTGGTATATCTTAACGTTTTCTCGTAAAAGAGGATATATACGTCTCAACGATACACAAAGATATATTTCAGTGCCTTTTTCTCGGCCTATTATGTAGCCACGTTAAGCGTACATGTACAGTTCGCATCGTTAAATACCTAATTACCTGTATTACGTTTAATATCTGCCCTAACCACTAAATAAGTATCCAAACGCCCAAACAACAATACTTAACGCCCTGAAGGTCAGTGCAATTGGTGTTGTTTGCGAAACGAATTCCGCTATTAAAAATCCAAACGGACTTGTTCCCGCCAAAACGCCATTTAATATTCCCGCCATTATGGGCATGCAAAGATCACCATACAGAATCTTAAGCTGGTTGCACACCTGACTATTTAGAAGCGATAAAACTCACTTAACATCCGAAATACTGCGCGTACTTAGTTATAGTATTTTTTCAATTTCAATTCAACTTAACAAAATTTTAAAGCACTTTAGCAGATGTCTTGTTCTATGATATATTTATAAGGACATAATTTATCTAAACTCTAGAGGCACGTTTTAATAAAATGTATAAATAAGTCCCTCATAGTTACATTCATAAAAGGTTTATTTATGAAATGAAATACCTAAGTACTTCATTTTAGTAATCAAGTGATGGAATACGTAAAACAGTAATGCCTAATACCTACTTAAGTAAATTTAAAGTTGATTTTAGATTGCAAACAAATTACGACACGGGCAGGACTTAAACCGGCGTCCACATCGTTCCGTGGTGTTGCTCTAACCAATTGAGCTACCGTGTCATATAAAATCGATGTTTAATTTATATAGTGCCCTCATGCAATAATATGTGTGTGTGTGTAAGTTATCAAACCTACCTAATTGCAGTTTTTTCAAATTGTTATCAATTTTAAACTTTTTCCGGCAACTTTTTAATCATTTCAAAACACAAAGGACTAATAAAGTGAATTCCAATTTATGTGTCCCGTTGAGAAATGTGATAATTGTAAAGGTGCACCGCATAGTCTGCACCCAGCCTAAGAAAGCAGGTTACACACGATACCAATTTTATATTATTAAGTAAATTACACACAGCTGCTCACCGCGTTATACCGCGCTATTAAGATAAAATGTTTACCGTATATAATTTGATTATTGGATCTAGAGATGATATGTCCGAGAAAATGGCGTCGTTACTCTTCTTATTCATCGCAAAGTAATTGTCTAATTGTGTTGAAAACGGTAAAAATGTAACAGTATTGCCATATATCAAACACGGCTTGTTGTAGATGTGTATCTGTGGTATTTGGAATTGTAAAATATTGTTTGTCTAGTTGATCTATAAATAGCTAATAGAAGTAGGTAGGTGTGTTACCTAAGACAGGACTTTTTCTATCACAATGTCGATGTCACATAGAAGGCATTACTACTTTTTTATGAACCGTTATCTAGTGGCATTTGTTTAAAAATAAATTATTACAGTCCAATTCGTTATGAGAATGCAAAAAAACTAACTTAAATACAAAAAAGACGATTTAAAAGTGTATTATCTATTCATAGAGTTTTGTAAGAGTTACCACGTCCGTAGCTCGGTTCAATAAAACACTAATAGTATATTGTGTTAAATAAAATCGACATCAAAACGGACACAGAAACGTGTTTGCCCCATGCCCCCACTAGGGAAAACGGCTTTGTACTTTTAACATTGCGCTTTCGTATTATTTAGTCATTCGTTGGTAATTTTCGATGTTAATTGCAGAATAGCAAAGCATTCCATGTGTTATTGTGCAAAAATACACTTTCCCGCGCATTCCACAGATAGAACGTAATTACAGGTTTATGGGTAATTACTTTTAGTCAGTTCGGCGTCAGTTTCGGAACTAAGCAGACAACAAATTTACCTTACATGAACATTTCTCATTATTACAATTTTAGTAAAACAGGTAAACAAGTAACGCAATGATCACATCTCAAAAAACTATAGAAAACTTATTATTTTCTTTTCGTTTTCTCTTAAAAGCCCCAAAATTCACAATCTATCATAATACACATTATTACGACATTGTTGCAAATATATCGTAGCGCCGTCACTAAAAAACACAACAAGAACGTATGTCTTTTTTCTTTATTCCCGACTAACATCGCATGCTGCTAACAATTTATCGCTAATTCACCGATGTTGCATCTATTAACTTGCCTGTTACAATTTTTTCATTTAACGACGACAAAAAACGGTTAATAACGCGGTTAACTAGCAACGCGCGCTGTCTTTTTTCAGTTCAGTTTCCGTTGTTTTAGATTTTTATATTAATTGGGGCTCGGTGAACTCTCGATAGTTTTATGAGGATTAATTGAAGGGCCATTAACGTTCAATTTAAATTCTGGTGCTGTCAGACAGTCACGCGAATTTGGAAACGCGAAAATTTAGGCTATAGATTAACGAAGATAACTAACCTTAACTGAAATGAGTTACGAGAGTAAAAACTTGTCAAATGTCAAATGTCAACCGTCAAATCTTATTTTTTATTCGCGCGCAAAAACTTTGATTTTATCTCTTGTATTATCACCTGTGTCTCCTGTCGCATAATGCATGTCTAAGTTCGAAATTACTTTTTGCGTGAAAAATTTTCACTAATCAAAATATTTTTTTTATACCGCATTTTTCTTTAAGTCAGTAGTAAAAATATAATTTTAAAACATCAATAATTTATATTATTACGCCTTGTCTTTCCTTCTATAGACACATGACATTGGCAGCATCCATTTATTGAGAAAGCTATCAAACTAAGAAGCGGAAGAAGAAGACACTATGTTGAGGATCTTTACTTTAGATTGATTGATGGTTGCGCCTAGTATCTAATAGGTTAGAAAGAAGTCCTAAACACACCCGAGTGTAGATTTCTAACGTGTTAAACTATCGGCTTATTCAGGAAACAATAAAGCAACATATCTAAAAGCGATAATAACGCTGAAATGCGCATAATTAATTTGATTTAACATAAGTATGCCAAATTACCAAACAAGATAATCGGCCAACGCCCAAACTTTCGAAAAACATAACAAGTAAATTATTCAGGGCTGCATTGCAACGGATAACTAAAAAACTAATGTAGAAACGAGGTTTCAATCGCGAACGACCACACCCGTCTGTTGTCTTTGGAGCGTCGGCAAAAAAAAAACATTTTTTTATTGTTACCCATTTAAATTGAATATCCAGTAAAACGTAGTCCTTTATGTCGCATTTAAAAACAAAAAACTTTAGAGTGTTAATTGTAAAATATGAGTTAATTAATAAAGTAGGGAATGTTTCTCATTTATTAGTCAAAGAATATGGAATATAATAACTAAAGTATGCCTAGTTTAAATATAGTAACATCTTTAAATACTGTCTATAGTTTACGCGAGTAGTACACATTTAAATAAAACACTTTAACGGTTTAAAACGCGATATATTAGTTAAACTTATTTGGAAATGATTTTTAACTTCGGCCCGACGTTTCGGATGCTTTGCAGCAGCCGTGGTCACGGTCACGTCACGTGCTGCAAAGCATATATCACTAATATATCGCGTTTTAAACCGTTAAAGTGTTTTATTTAAATAGTAACATCTTTGTAACATTTTACAAATATAAAATTTTTAAATCCTCCCTTTATCGATACCGAGATGCTATTTATTCTATGTTTAGATGTCAGTAACAAAGTTATAGTGCTGCCTATAAAAAAAAATTCATGTCATTATTTTAAGTTGCCATTATATGCAGACCGTACACGGATACGAACAACTAGAGCTAATGATCGCGTAATAACATTTTTTATCAGTTTCCAACAATTAGACGCAACTCGATACCATTTACATTATGTTTTAATTACCTCACAATTGGTGCGCTTAGCAACGATAAATTAATGACCAAATTGCACTGTTCATTTGGTTTCAACTGGCCCGTGGTCCACTGGTAGACACGTTAGGCTTATAGCGGGTTATGGATTCGATCCCCACCGGGTCCAATATTTTTATAAAATTTATTTGTTTTTTCAAAATCTGTTTGATTTACCAGTGGAATGTCGGCATCCTCATTTAAACATCACAAGCTTCAAACATGTGCAAAAAACCGAATAACAATTTCTATGTTGCAAAGAAATTGAGATAAAAGATATTTAAATAATAATCATTATTTTGTTTTAAGTAAGTGAAAGCCCGTTTTCCCCCTCGTGGGGCATGGGGCGAACATATTTCTGTCTCCGTTTCACTGACTTCTGTGCCCTGCCCGACCGAAACAATTTTTTGTTTATCTGGGATTCGAACCCAGGACCTGTCGCGCTTAACGCAATACGTTTAACCGCTACAGAGGCGGTCAAAGTTATGTTTTAAGTATAGATTTTTAGTTCAATTTTCTTTGATTTGTCTTTTGGTAAACGATGTGTTTGCCACTCTATGAATCTATATAATATTATAAATGTATGAATGTAAATAAACCCTGGCAGACCAATGACAGACCCAGATCCCATGCTTAACTATCCTTCTCTGTATATCTCATAGATACGAGTAATTGTTATCTCACCTGGGTCTCAGTCAAGCTCAGCGCCTGCGCGAGCTGTTTCCTCTCCGCCCCCACCACGTAGTGGTTCTTCTCGAAGGCGTGTTCCAGTTTGAGGAGCTGCGATGGCGAGAAGGCCGTTCTGATTCTCTTCGGTTTTCTGAAGGGCTGGAGTAGGAAGCCGGGTATGTCTGGACCTGGAATAAAAGAAACACTTATTTTGTGCTCTAGAGGTATTTTGAAATCTACCTTTATACTTCAGGGCTTTGAAAACGTCTTTCGCTATAAGGTTGCCTGGAAGAGATCGTTTGTTAGCGATAAGGCCGCCCATTGCACGCCATATTTTTAGTATTTAAGTCTCGTTTGTATTTTTGTTCATTTCTTTATGCAACAAAGTGTAAATAAAGAAATAAATAAGGATCACGTTTAAAAAAATAGTAATAAATAATGTATTGTACGAGGTATGTACATACTTGTATGTAGGATAGCCATTTTTCAAATCTCCCTATTCAACTAGTTTTACCATAAAATACTTTTCATACTTATGAAACAGTTAGGCGGTATAAAGAGGTATTTCAAATAACTTCTCTCTCTTAAACGAATAGTAAGAAATTAAAACAACATTAAGTCATGCTTAGGGTATTATTATCTGGAATACCAACATTTAGCAAACGAGTGTGGTGCGCGGGAGATTATATCCTTCTGAGATATTATTAAAATTGAATTAAAAGATCGCTTAGGATAGCTAAAGGCCTGTTTACACTGAGTAAAATTTCCATTATTTATTTAGCAATGGTTAAACTATTTTCCCAACGTTACGAAAGGTGCGGTCCTGAATTGTATTGCCGGAAAATAGAGTCGATCAGGGCACACGTGTTCTATTTGCCGTATTCTAGGCCTTTAGTTTTATAAAGACGCCCGTGGCGAACCGATAGTACCGAGTAGAAATAAATTAGTTTTTTTTTTTTATATAAATTCAAGTAACAAAGTAACTATTTGTTACACCGAAAATATAATATACAACCTCACGTTATTTATTATATTATGTATCTACCATAAACAAACACAAGTATTAAATATTGAATGAATAATCTCAAATATAATTCCTTTAATTTCCGATCAAGTAGACATTGCAAAGTGCAAGTAATTATGTTCGAGCCCTTCGGGTCATAATTTATCAGAAAACTTGCAACATTAGATATTATTATTAAAGTCATTTTATAAATTACAGTTAGCAGTGATAAAGCTATATTTATTATGAATGTTTTTACCTCAGGGAATCGAATCTCGATCTTTCACTGTTCACTATCTACCAAATCATTCCCTTATCAAATCCCGAAGAAACATAGTTATTTCGGCCGGGTAGGTCACAACAGACTGTTCAATTAGTTTTCTGAAAAGCAATCTGAGAAATAAAGCGGTCGTAGTTTTAATCCCAGCGGGTTCAAAATGTTTTCCATTAATTTATCATTTTCCAGAAACATCTAGAACTCCGTCTGGAAATAATCTTGTAATGGGTGGGAGAAATATGAAAATTCCGTCCGGGTCACGAACCATCACCCGTAGATAAAAAGCCGCGTTTAATCGCGTTTCGATTTTAGTTTTTTCATTTCCGAAAATCACAAGGCGAAATAGGTCGATAGCGCATCTTGTTTATGAGATGTAAATGTTATGTGGCCGAGGTATTTCACCTTGTGCCCCTCCTTGAAAACAGCATTAAATTTTCAAAATATCTATCTATACCTATTTGAGTATTTCATCTATATACTTAGCTAATAAATTTTCCTGACCTGTCTCAATAGTGACATTGAACTAAAAATTACGATATTTTATGATCGGGAATCGCTCATCTTTTGAAGAATGTAGAAACTTATTGTTATTTAATTAGACACTTATTTTTGCCATTCACATTTGTATTGTGACCAGACAACCAATCATACCAATTAAATGCATACAAAGAAACACCTTTGTTATGAAACCGGTCGATTATGATATTAAATGCCAGACAGATAATTAAAATGATCGATCATTGTCACATTTCCACAGACTATTGTCAATTTTATTATAAATAAATCTTATCTTTATTACATTCGTGATTACTTCCTTTTTATTTAAAACTGCTGTGTAATATATTTTAAACGTATGCATATTTAGTTCTTTCCATGATTATAGGCATAATTAAAACGTAAATAGCCAAGCAATTTATTTGGCAAAAATCGAACTTTGAAACGCTAAATGTGGTTTTAGCTATTTATAGAGATGTTTAATATCACAATACAGACTTATAATAGACTTATAAATTACAATAACATCCCTAGCAAGTTACTTGATATTTAATTATTATCTTTGCTGCAATTAAAGTGACATTATACAGCGTGTTTCACTTGTAACTACTCATTGAAACTTGTCTATATGAATCTGGTTACGCCTTCAATAACGTATTTTTTTCTCCTGAATATTGTAAATGTAACTATTATTCCTAATTTAACATCGTCTAAGCCCGTCTATCTGCACTGGAGCAGTATGGTGGGATAAACCTGTGTTTAATGAGACAGCAGATTGCCAAGTGGGATAATGAAGAATTAAAACGAGACTGGTGATAAAGTACTCACTTGAAACTCGTTATTAAGAACTACCCGCTTTTTATAAATAATATTCAACAACTGAGCACATTAAATTACACGTATATTCGCGATAAAACATTTAAAACACGCGAACACATCATTTAACCGCGGCGTTAGTTATTACAGTAGGTAGGTAACATTATTCAAATTATTTCGTATAATTCATATTAAAATGATACTTATTACTCGTGTTTGTTTAAAGTAGAATACGTATGTAATGTAAATATAATTATTACAAAGCTAGAATGCGGTAATTGAAGTAATTAAAATTAAATTATTTCTTTACAAGGAACTACTAGCAATTCAAAAACATAAAATTAATAGGTAGTTAATTAATGTAAATAATTTACATATTAAAATAAATATTAACAGCCTGAAATTTAATTTAAAAGTTGTTTGTTACGCAGATCTATTGTTTTATTTGATAGTAGAATCAGTCAAATAGGTATAAGAACAAAATTTACTAATTGTCACGACAATTGACATTAGCCATTGTTGTAACTTATTTATGAAAAAAAAATCGATACAATTTGATGTTTTATTTATTAAACAATCTGAATCCGTTCTTACTTGGAAATGACGTCAAAAATGTTTTAATAAACTAAATTTCACACAAGTATTCTTCCTTATTATGTTAGTTTACTTATCAGGTTATAAATTATGACGAAATGTATTTTATTTTCGAATATTGTTATAAATGATTGATTTTAATTGAAAAATAAAGAAGGCTTATATAAAGTAATTCATTTTTGATTTATGTAAACGATAAATTATTGGATGACTAAATCATGTAATTACTTTTGCTACAGACTGAGCTTAGTCGAATCACTGTCGTCTTTATTTTTATTTACTTACTTTCAATCTATTTGTGTTACTAACAATTTATTTTTTCAAGTAATATTTACGCTATCTCCATATTTTTATAAGCGCCATGCTGGTGTAGGTTTGCACCCATTTTCAGTTCTTGGGTTTGGGAGTCGTGCACTTAAATGACTATTGTGTAAATTCTCAATTATGGAGTCAGGAAATCCATACAATCCTAAATCGGCGCCAAAATTGATTTTATTCGTAGCCACTCTGGTTTCTGTGATATTCTGTTTTCTGTAGCAGTTATTCATAAAAAATAAATCATATTTTAATTTACCAAAATGCTGGTAGGCAAAGATGAGTTAATAACTCTAAAGATAAGCAATAGAAGGACGATTTGTGGACGTCAACGAATTTATCTTGATCGTAAAACTGTGAATTTATGTATTTCGTGACACCGATGGGTCATGCCGGTTGATAGTGGCCACAGACAATGTTCTCCTAATTATCTTATACACTTTAATTAAATTATGTTTTTTTAAAGTGCCAGGTTTAAAAAAAATGTTTATGACATACTAACTACTGTAATAACTTTTACAGACTGTGATAAATTAGTTTGTAGATTGACGCAACTACAGTTTGGTATTTGGAAATATAATAATAAGTACATAACGAAAACTTCACAGTTCCCTTTCTGTCACATGTGACGTAGTATGACTTTCTTACTCATTTGTATTGGAAAGAATATTGTAATTATAACTCAGCATGTCAATGCCTATAGACCCTATAATTATTATTTCTCCAACCTTAATCTACTACAAAAAGTCAGCGCTAACGAATCTCCGGCCTAAAAACAAAACCCACAAAGATTTAACCCAGACAGTTTGAACTGAAAGGCAGCAATTAGGAACAGTTTTTTCGAAACGAATTATCTTGTCAAGCTATAAACTGAACAAATATCTCCTTTAATTAGTTTTAAACAGCTCAGACTGAATAATTAATCATAAATCCTCCCATCCTACGTCTCGGTCGAAACGTAAATCACTTCATCTAACTACCGATCTCGTTCCAAGATGGCTGACCGCTGCCAACACAACGAACATAAATAGTTTAATTTAAAACGCTTGTTAATCTCGCTCGACCAACAACAAAGTACTCTCAAATTACATCCAATTATAACCCATTCATTCGTTTAGAGAAATATCGTTGAAAAAATGCATCCGGCAACAATCGTGGCCATTAAAAAGGCGCGTAACGAAAGATGTGACGTACGGTGCTACCGACGTTAACGAGGCGAGGGCTAGGGACGTAGCCGATACGACCGATTATCGATAGTATTAGCTAATTTCGCATTGTACCTTACATGGGCGAAATAATCGATGAGGCCTATCATTAAAGATCGCGATCGTGCGCAAGAGAACATTACGGTTGTCCTGTACGTACCTAATTACCTCTATAACATCTTAACAGCGGTAACATTGTATTTTATAGCTGAATTGTGCGTAAAGATAGTTTGTTTATTGATTCGGTCGTAAAACAAACACGGTCACCTCGAGCTTTTGCTAGTGGCTCGCCGTTATGTTACACCTCTTGCAAGATTATCTTTAAGGAATTCATTATTTAAGATTTTATCAAGATTTTTACAACTTTGTCGTTAAATGTAAAGAGCCCAACACTAATTATTAGGTTTAATGTTTTAATCTTACCCCTATACATTGTAATAAAATTTATATTTACAGGCTGTAAAGTTAACTTTATATTTTTAA